ATAAACTAAACAAACAAGAAGAACAAAGGATCACGGATGGATACAGAGAGCACTTTGATGGTTGCCAGATGGGAGGGGGTTGTGGGGGATGGGTAGAGAGATGAATAGGGATTAAGAAGTACAAATAGGTAGTTACTGAACAGCCACGGGGATGTAAATTACAGTACAGGAAATGGAGTAGCCAAAGAACTTTTACTCATGACCAATGGTGTGAGGATTGCCTGAGGGAGTGGGGGGGTGCTGGCTGGAGGAGGGCAAAGGGGGAAAAATCAGGATAACCGTAATAGCATAATCAATAAAATGTAATTTAAATAATTTTTTAAAATAATAAAAAGGTATTTTACCATAAAAAATAAAATCTTAGTTAAAAAAAAGAATGTGCGGATGTAAGGGATATTAGGACTTGGTCAGTAAAAGGTTAAAATGTGGTTGGATGATTGTATCCATGACAGCAAGAAAAAGGAGGCGTGTTTTAGAAATACTAGACCAATGAATGTTGGTGATTTGGAGCACTCATTGGGACCGCACAGTGGATTGCACAGTGGATTCTCGGTGGGGACCCAGGGGAGCAAAAACTGGGTCTTCGGTGGGGAGGAGACGTGGAAAAGTATCTTAGATATTACAGTTGTGTGTGGCCCTCCAAAATCCAACCCTACTGAACAAAATCTTAATTCTTAGTATTTCATTTCTCTGGTTAGGCAGAAATTAAATTATCTTTAAATTAATTAATTGAATTTAAAGATAATTTAATTTTTCTCCTTGGGGCAGGGGCAGGAGGGTAGTGGGGAAGCAGCTGTAATGAAAACAAGATTTAGAACTCCTGTTCTCTGCCCAGTGGGATGACAGAGCTGCCTCCAGACATGCTCTGGGCCGAGGAATATCCCCTTACTGCCCGAGTAAGAGAATGTCATTTACTAGGCAAATGGTTGAGACTTGGAACAAGGGAAATTTTCAGTCAGGGACCCCCAAATTCCAAGTGGCATATTTATACAGATGAGGGAGTGGGGGCCAGGATCATGCAGCTGGTCATGAGCCAATTTCCAAGTCCAAGCCCAGTGCTTCTCACGTGAGAAATGCAGCTCCATGGATCGGAAGGAAGTACCTTTCCTGTGACCAGCAGTCACATGGGGGACTGACCCTGGGCTCAGAGCGGCGCTGAGACCGCGGGATCCTGCAGCGGAGTCGGAACTTCAGGATGGCGGCTGCGCATTTCTGAGCAAAGGCCCGGAGGGGCTGCTCAGGTCACCGCCCAGCAGGCCGGCCTGGCCACATTTTCCATATTTAAAATATGGGTTTGGAATGTATCCCTAGATTTGGATGTAACTAATAAAACAGCCATTCTGAGATGGTGAAAACAGAAATCTCCAGCCTTTAGCGTTTTCTTGATTTCAAATGGGGGCCAGTGGAAGGTGAATGGAGACCTATATTCAGTGTGTTCTCTTAAGTTGACAATTGGGAAAAGCCACGCCCTGGGGAGCTTAAAAACAAAGTTAAACAGCAGAAGGGAAGAAGGAGACCCCCTTGTTTTTCCTTTTATCCCCCCCAACAAAGCCCCCAGTAACCATAGCAACCAGGGCTCTTCGGAGCCGCCCCAATCACCCAGGATTCTCAAGGCTGTGCTTTTATGTCCAAAAACTGTGGCTTTGAGTTTTGTTAAACTCAGAGATGCTTTTCTAGGATTTGCAGTTTCTTCCAGAAAAAGGGACACAGGTATTAGATGTAATTGTGCTAGTGCCACATCACACAGGCATCCTGATTGGAGTGACAAAGGGTTCTCTGGTGACAGTGGAGTGTGGGTATGCATGTGCGTGCTGTGCGTGTGGGGGGGGGGCGGGGTGAGAGACTGCTGCTCTTAAGAGTCACCTTGTTGGGATTAGGGGGAGGGGGTGGTGGAGGCCAGTGGAGCAAATCCTTTCTGGAAGGGTGAGTAGGTGGGTGGCTAGGTGGGCCGAAGCCAAATGAAAAGAAATGGGGAGGGGAGAGAAAGGGAACTGAGTGAAGTGGCATTTCCTGGCCTGGGGCCTGGGGAAGGAATGCTCTGGAATTTATTTAGAAAGCTTTTAAACTAGCTAGTTATGGGTTGTTGCTTTTTTCTTTCTTTTTATTTTTTACTATTCTAGCTTGTTGCTCTTGTTCCTTTCAAAATTATAAGCATGTTTCTGTGGCTATGTGATGAAAAGCATCACTCCCAACATACATCGTCCTGAAATTCCAGAAAATAGATTGTGATACAAGATGATGCCTGGTCAATGAATGGGGGACCCTGGCCTTAATTTCCAGAACAATGAGTCTTGACCGTTGATGGACTTAAGGCTCTCACCTCCTGACACTCGTATGTTCTGTCTTTACAATTTCTGGCCACGTTTCCTTACTTATGGAGGAGAGAGGCAGTGGTTTTGAAGTAGAGGAATCCTGCTTCTGAGTTGAGTCACTGATTTCCAGTGGTTTGACCCAAACTATTTGCACAATTTAGGGCACCCCACACCTTATTTTTCCCTCCCAAAGCACTCCAATTGCAACCACAGCAAACAGGGCTATTTTAGGCTTGCTGTATGCATGGTATTTTTTGCTCTTGTGGGTTTTTTTTTTAAATATGACTCAGTTTTCATAATAAATCATGTAGACAGCTAGGGTCTGCCTTTTCCTGAGACGGGAAGGGACAGCACGTCCTCGATGCAGAATGTGGATGTAAGTTACCGCAGAGCACCCCGGCCTGTTCCCCCAGCCGAAGGCTCCTGGAGCCCAGTCCCTGTGAGCAGCAGCTGGGGGAGTCCCTGGGGCCAGCATCAGCAGATTTAGGAGGTGAGCTTGATAGATATGTGTTCTGGGCCTGATCTTTGTGGTCTTCATCCTTCTGCATTTTTGTGTGAGTGTCAGAGGAACCTGGCAACAGTCTTTGAGCACTTTTCACAGTGTTCTCATGTTTAACCCCAAGCCTATTTTCACGAAGATGTCCGGTGATCTTGTTAACCCCTCCCCTCTGCCCTCCTATCCTCTCCATCCACATGGAGGCCTTTTGCAGTTTTCTTCTTGCTTCTGCGTCATCTACCCTTTCTGGGGTTGGACCTTCCTCTTCTCTATAATTTTCCATAGCTCCCATTGCTCTGTAGCATTGCTGTCCCATAGAACCAGGAAATGAGCCACACGGGCAATTTTAAATTGTTTAGAAGCCACATTTTAAAAAGTTTAAAAGAAGCAAGTGAAATGAATTTTAACAACATATCTCACTCCATCTGTCTGACATAGTATCATTTCAACATACAGTTGATACTAAAAAATTATGAACGACATCTACATTCACATTTTTAAGTTTTTGGAACTCGGGGTGTATTTTACATTGACATATCCCAAATTGGATACTAGAGTTTATTAAATTTGCTGTTGTTAAAGTAGATTCATATACCTGAGGTGTCCCAGACTTACAAAAAGTTTTCTGGTAACTGAATTCCATATTCTATTTTAAATTTAAATTGCTTGTATTTAAATGTGATTTAAAAATTGAGTTCTTCAGTCACACCAGCCGCCATTTCAAGTGTTCACAGCATCCTGTGTCTGATGGCGAATGTATTAGTCCTAACAGAGAACATTTCCATCCTTCCAGAAAGTTCCATTGGACAACACCGTCTTAAAAAGTGCAAACACCTCAAAAGGACTTTCAAAATTTTCTAGAACCCAGTTCCAAACTCTCTAGCTTTATTTATTGGCTTTGTTTTGCACATGTTCACTTTCCACTTTGAAACGTATGCCCTTTCTTCTCTTCCCCCAGAGAAATCTCTCTTTTTATGCTGGCTTAATGGCAGAACTTCCTCGAAAGGTTCTCCCCTTCTCCCTGCAGCAGAATTAATTGCTGCCTCTGCTTCCGACTGGTTCCAGAAGATGAAGCAGAGTGCGTGGGAAGGGGCCGCAGGCCCATCCGAGCTCCCAGACCGTGGCTTGCTGCCCTGGGAGCTCATATCCCCATTTCTCCTGAGACAGGTTTGAATGGATCTCCTAACACACAGCAGCCCGGGCCCTGCCCCATTGGAAAACACAGCCACACAAAGGACAGCACTGTGTGCGCGCCATGGCGGCCCGGGGCTGTGAGTGTGGGCCTTCAGACAGGAACACGCCCTGGGCACAGGCCGTGTAATTCTAGGCGGGCATCGGCTCTAGGAGAAAAAAATCCTTTCTTTGCCCTCACAAAAGGGAATATGTGCCTGGCTGCCCCGATACCCATTTTTCAAAATGGGAACTGGTGTGTGGTGTGTGTGTGTGTGTGTGTGTGTGTGTGTGTGTGTGTGTGTGTGTGTTTACTTTGAAAAACTGTGACAAACATACAGAACAGTGCACAAGTTGAATTTTCACAAAGCTAACATGCCCATGTAACCAGCCCCCAGATGAAGAAAGAGAGCATGACCAACCCCCCAGAATGGCCTCCCTCCTGCCCCTTCCACAGTCTTCTCCGCCTCCCCAGAGTCACCACTGTCCTGACTTCTAGCCTCGTGATTCATTCTGCCCATTTCTGAATTTCACGTACATTTCTGCATGCATTGTCGCGTCTGGCTTCTTTTGCTGGGCATTCTATTGGCAATAGCTTGTGGTTGTTTTTTGGATGCCTTTATCTTTTCTGGCACCTGGAACTATTTGTAAAAAAACACAGCAGTTAAAAAGAAGAAAATTCTAGATGTGAAAGATTGGTGGCTTGAATTGCAAAGAACCTTCTGCTCAAATTCAGTTGTTTGCCCTTGGGATTTTCTAGGTTTTGGGGATTTTTATAGGTTTGGGCAGTTTGCAGCTGTCATTACTTATATTTTGTCTTTACTTAGGGAATCTTTGCTAAGGGGATGATTCTTGGTCTTGAAAGGACGTGAACTCCTTTTCTGGCTTTTGGACAAAGTTGGACATGAGTCATTTCCTCAGATTTTCTTTTTGACAGGTAGAAAAAAATTCAAGATGAGGGTGGAGAGGAGAGAGAGATGTCAGTTGACTTTCTGATCTGGTATCTTCTGTTTTTGCTTCAGGTGAAATGTCTGCTCCGGGATTGTACCAGGCGACTGCTGGGCCTTCGTCGGTGCCCACCGCACCCCCATCCTATGAAGAGACGGTGGCCATTAACAATTACTTCCCCACGCCGCCTGGGCCGACCACGGGGCTCGTGACTGGCCCTGATGGGAAGGGCATGAACCCTCCTGCGTACTACACCCAGCCAGTGCCCGTCCCCAACGCCAACGCAAGTACGTGTGGCCTCCCCGGGCCCCTTACCACCCTGGCCTTGGGGGCTCTGTGGGGATCATGAGAGCCACCCAAGTGACTCTGAGCCTAAGCGAAGTGCCAGTCGGTCCAGTTTTCATTTGTGTGAAATGTTGCATACAGTTCTTTAGGTTCCGCATCGGTGAGTCTCGTGGCTTTTCCATAATAAAGTACAGTTTATGAGCTTTCCCCAGTCCGCCATAAATCGATCCTTTGGCACTTACACAGAGGCACAACCGACCATGCCAGAGAAATTTGGCTATTACAGTTTGCTTTTCAGGGCCCTCACCCTTCCTGCTGAGTTTGATAGAAACCCTGCGCCCTGAGCTGAGGGCTGGAGCAGGAGAAGGGAGGAAACAGTTGTGAGTGAGGAGAGGGTGAGCTGAAACCCACCCCAGCCCAGCAGCACCATTTGCAAAAGTTGCTCCCCTGTCTTCTAGCAACTTTTTTTTAACATCCAATAAGGGTTTAATATCTAAAATATATAGAGTACTCACACAACTTAACACCAAAAAAATAAACAGTCTCATTAAGAAATGGGCAGAGCACCTGAACAGACAGTTCCCAAAGAGGACGTAGAGATGGCCAATGGACATATGAAAAGATGCTCAACATCACTATCATCAGAGAAATGCAAATTAAAACCACAGTGAAATAATCAGCTCACAACTGCCAGAATGAGGGGTCCTTTCTTTTAAAGCTTGTTCTCTAATCCATTGCTTCCCAAACTTACTCAAAAGTAAGCCTCCATAAAAAAGCATACCATGTGTGGTGCACAGTAGGGCACATGGTGGAGGCTGTTCGTTGCTGCAGGCATCAGGCTTGGAGCCCCAGCCCTGTTGCCATCTGCAGCACTGCACGCTGCGGCGCTCAGTGTCTTGGCACACTGGCGTCCATTAGTGCGTCAGGGTGAGGACAGCAGTGTGGACGCCATGCGGACCCATGGCATGTGCTGTCCCGGACCCTGATCACTGGACACAGGAGGCTGCTGCGCCTCCTGGGAACCATGCCTCCATGCTTCTGGAAACTGGAAGCCCTGTGGCCACTGCTGCTGCCTTCTCAGAATGCACTGTACAAGGCTTATTTCACAGAACAGGCAGTGCAGTTTGGCCTAATGTTTCCATGAGTGGCCGCCAAGCCTGGTTATCCAGGCCCTCTAGGAAATTGCAGCAGCTTTTTATTTAATGTTCTAAATTCATTCCCATTGTTCTAAATTCAAAACGATACAATCGGGTATGCACAAAGAAGTTTCACTCCCTTTCCCATCGGACCCCATGGACCCACACAACTTTTAGGCAGCCACTCTGAAGGCTTATGTATCCTTCCGGCATTTCTTTTTGTGGACATAATGAACACAAATAAATATTGTCCCTTCCTTTTCTTACAGAAATGAGAGCATGCTATGCCCATGGTATATGTGTATATGTGCATTCTTTTCACCTTTTTTTCTCACTTAACCAAGTACCCATGTTGGGTACCTAGACAGCTTTCTCCTTCTCTTACAACAGCATAGATATGCCCCATGTGAGTGTGCCTCCGTTTATTTTAAACAGTATCCACTAATGTCTGTTGGGCCTGTTCCCAATTTTTTGCTTGTAAACAGCACTGTGTATGTCATTTCTTAAGTATGTAGGTGTGCTTTTAGAAGAAATCCCCAGGAACAGTATTACTGGGTCAAAGGATAAGTGCATTTATAATTTTTCTTAAAGATTTTATTTATTTTACTTTTTAGAGAGAGGGGAAGGGAGGGAGAAAGAGGGGATAGAAACATTGATGTGTGAGAGATACATTGATAGGTTGCCTCTTGAATACCCCTATCTGGGGACCTGGCCTGCAACCCCGGCATGTACCCTGACTGAGAATGGAACTAGTGACCTTCTGGTTCGCAGGCCAGTGCTCAGTCCACTGAGCCACACCAGCCAGGGCTGTAACTTTGATAAATATTGCCAAATTGCCCTCCATAGAGGTTTATTATTTTGCACAATGTCTGAGAGTGCCTGTTTCCACTTTGCCAAGAGAGTATATTGTCCAACTTTTGAAATTTTGCCAGTGTAATTGGTAAAAAGTTTTATCTTAGTGCAGTTTTAAATTTCACCTGTCTTATAATGAGGGAGGTTTTTCATCTTTTCATTTGTTTCAGCCCATTTGCATTTCCCCATAGTAACCCCTTTCTGCTGGAATTAGCTAAAGCTGGCTCCCATGGCTGTGTGTGGTTGCACTGTCTTGTACCCCTTTCTCCTAGAAGACAGAGTGCTTCTTCATGCACTTATTTTGATATTGGTCCCTGAAGGACCAAAGTGGAAGAGCTGGATTTTACCCCAAGCATCCATCCTTCTAGAGATAAAGGAAAAGGAGTTGAGGGTGGTCTCTGTCTCCAGCATTGGCTGCAGCTTCCCAGTTCCGTCGAGTTTTGCTGTTAAATGCTTAAGTTGGGAATAAGCAATATGTTGGCCTGTTGGCATGGTTCAGTAACTTCAACACATCCACAGACGTGACATTCCCGTATCTTACTCCTTTTTGCTTTCTTCTCTTCCTGTCTTCCTTTTATTCTTTCCTCCTCCTTTTGTTATTCACTCTATAGGTTAGAAGTCTGACAGGCCTCATGGGGCTAAATCCAGGTCTCAGCAGGGCTGCCTTCCTTTCTTTAGTCTCTGGGGGAGGATGCATTTCCTTGACTTTCCCAGCTTCGTGGCTCACAGCCCTCTTCCTCCATCTCTGAAGCCACAATAGCTATCCAGGTCCTCCTCATGTGTCACATCACTCCTCCAGCAGCTTCCTCATGGCCTTGCCCTTGAGTACTTCTTGCTGCTTCCATGTCAGCTGCTGATTCAGTATCACCAGCAGCTCAGGCGGAAATGCCAGGTCGGAGAGTGGCCCTGTGAGTCTGCCTGGGCTCCCCTAACTGCCATGTGCCCCAGTTTTCCCGTCTGTGAGTTAGGGCTCATCAAGCACCTATACCAATGAGTTCTCAAAATGAAATCAAGTTTAATCAGTAATTATTTGATAAAAGTGCTCAAGTAACTTTGACCCCTGGAGAAGGGAGAGGACAAGATAACTTGACTTTTACCTCACTCTTTGCTCAATAAATAACTCATTCTTGTACCAAAAAAAAAATCAATATAATTTACACGTGAGTACTAAAGCAGGCTTCTTTGACGGTGTTTTCTGGGAGGCTCCACCCAGATTTCTAGGCCTCCCAAGGAGTATTAGGCTCAGCTAGTGCTGGGAAATCGTTAATTTCCCATCTACTACGTAGACGACAGCAATGGCATTCCAGCAGCCTAAAAAGGAACTGAAGGAAGTCACTTTGTCAGAAATACAAGCTTAAACAACTTTGCCAAATACCAAAAAGACCATGTAAAACTCAAAGAGCTTTGGGACTGATAAGAACCTAGCTGCTCTTGTGATGATTGTGAATGTCTGTGCCTGCCTGCCACCGAGTTTTCTCTTTCAGCATGATTTCACATACCCCTTCCACTGTCAGCATGTTAACAGAACAAACAAGGGGGGCCTGGGACGATATACTATTATTAAAAGAAGCCCCCAGGTCCGTTATGTCCGCCGCCAGAGGAAAGATGTCTGTCAATGCCAGAGGTTCGTGAAAAGGAAAGGAAGTGTTTATTTAATGCTACAAAACTTAAAGTAGTGACCTGATGTCTTTATCAAAAATCCTCAAGCCCCTTAAAACACCCACAAACAGACACAGTCCTTCCTTCCTTCCCCCTTTGCCCAGTCCAGAGTACCGTATCTCAGGAAAGGAAATAGAAGTCCATGGCTCAGGCAGTCCTCTGGTTATTCCCAGTTAGTACTCCGTCTCAACTGGGAGACCTCCCTGGGTTCCTGGCACCCTCAGCTGAGTCCCCGGGATCTCTGCTAAAACCAGGTGGTGGTTCCCCTTTCTAAAGCTGCGGGGGTCCCCACTCTGGCAAAGGCACGTGGTCCTCTCTCCCAGGGCCACAGGAGTCCCCACTCCACCAAAACCGCGTGCTTCTCCCCCTGCGCAATGGCTGCAAGGGGGGTGGGGGTCGCCACTCTGCCAAAGCCGAGTGGCGGTTCTCTGCTAAAGCCGCATGGTGATTCTCTCTCACAGGGCTGCGGGAGTCTCCACTCTGTCAAGGCTGCGTGGTTCTCTCCTCAATGGCTGCTGCATCTGGGTTTTAAATCCCCGCGCCAATCTTCCTCTGCAGCCCCATTTTCGACTCTTCCCACACTCGGGCACACTTGTCCTCCATCTGCTGTCTTTTCCAGCTTTTCTGGTCGCCATCGTGGGTCTGGGCAGGTGTGACCCCATGTTATGGAGCCAATCTTCTCCAAGCTCCCGCGCAGGTGCTGTAACTTGGGGGAACCTGCCCCCCAGTCATATCTTGGTGGGGTAATTACTTCCATTCCCCTGGCACAGAGCATGGCCACAGCTATTTAACATATCTAAGTGACCAGCCAAAGGCTATAGATATGTTAAATGACCACACCAGAGGTTAGCTACAAGGCTGTTGCTATGCAAAACAGCTCCCAATGGCCCTGTTCCATTTGTCCCTTCCCCCAACCCACACCTGGGGGTGGGGTGGTGAGGACATCCTTAAATCTCCTGGACACCTTGAGTTCCGGACCCCATTTTAAATGCCCATTTGGGGTCCCCCCTGTTGGCTGCACCCTGTAACAAGCACAGCTCCCTGCCTCGGCCCGAAGAGCTGGGCCAGTGCTCCCTGGCTCCGTGCGCTCCAGCCTTTGCACTGGGCACTGGACTTGATAAAGGAGGCTCTTTGTGAAAAGAGGGAATTGTTTTATTGAGGGGCCACTCTGTACCAGGCATGGTGTGAGGTTCTTTCTTTACCAGCATTCTCTTATTTAATCCTAAAAACAACTCTGTTTACATCTGTTTTTTAAATAACTGTGTCACTGAAATATAATTCCCAGGCCATAAAGTTCAGTGTTTTCAAGTGTGCAACTCGGTGGTTTTAGTCTGTTCCCTGCGTTGCGCAGCTGTCAGCACTGATTCCAGAACAGTTCCGTCACCCTAGAAAGAAGTCCTGTACCTGTTAGCATTCCCTGCTCCCCTTGCCCCAGCCCCTGGTCACCACTAATCTGTGGGTGAAGAAAATGGGGACAAAAACCCACCACGTCATGGTCTCTGAAATTACCATCTGTAGACCACCTTCATAGAACCACTCAGGGAGCTTTAAATGCAGTTTGGGGACCCTGTCCGACCTGCAGAGATAGACTGTGTTGGGGGCAGGGCCTGGGAACCTGCATTCTCAATAAGCTCCCACATGATTGCACAGACAGTTGTGTTTGAACGCCTGGCCAAGCTGAGCCAAGTCCCTCCTCCAGGCACACAGTCCTTTCCTCCACTTCTCATGTGGCAGCTCTCTGCGCCCCCTCAAATTGTATTTCTGGAAATCTGCCAGTTTCTTCTTTTTTTCTTTTTGTCACCTCCCCTATTTTTTTTTTGAATATTAGATTTGGTTTTTATTGTGGAGCACCTGTATCAGGGCAAAGTGCTACACACAGAACTACAAATCATTTTGGGGAAAAGGCTGTAAAAAAAATTGCAACTGCTTTAGGTACGCAGTCCTGACTTGAGGAATCCACGCTGGCAAAGAGGTCCTGGCCCCTGAGGGGCTCCCTGATGGTGGCTGCCCCAGATGTCGGCAGCCTTGGGCCTGCCCCACCCCATTTTTTTAAATACACGGTGTCTTAAGCATTTCCAAGTGTAAGTTCAGTGGCATCAACTACACTTACATTGTCATGCAACCACTGCCACCACCCATTTCCAGAACTTTTCCATCCTGCAAAACTGAAACTCGGTCTCCATTAAACACCCCCCTGTTCCCTTCCCTGCAGCCCCTGGCCACCACCACCTACTGTCTGTCTCTGTGAATTGAACAACTCTAGGTGCCTGATGGACAGGAATCGTACAGTGCTTGTCCTTTTGTGGCTGCTTATCTCACTTAGCATGACGTCATCAGGGTTCCCCCGAGTCGTATGTGTCAGAGCTGCATTCCTTTTAAAGGCTGAATACTATTCCACTGTATGGATGGACCACATTGTGCTGTTCCATTCAGCCACTGACAGACATTTGGCTATCGTGAATGTGCTGCTGTAAACATGGGTGTGCAAATCACTGTCAAGACCCTGCCGGTATCTTTCTGTCGCCTACCAAACGTTTTCCTTGTTACCAATCGGGCTCTGTCCTTTTCCCTTCCATCAGTTGCTGTGCAGACAGTCTACGTGCAGCAGCCTGTCTCCTTCTTTGACCGCCCGGTACAGATGTGTTGCCCTTCCTGCAACAAGATGATTGTGACCCAGCTGTCCTATAACGCCGGAGCCCTCACCTGGCTCTCCTGTGGGAGCCTGTGCCTGCTCGGGTAAGTCTGGGGTCCATTCAGACCCCTCGGCTGTCCCACATTCCTCTCACAGCCTTTCTCACCTGTAGCACACACTTCCGTCTTGTGGGGTGCCATCCTGTGCGTAGAGGATGTTGAGCAGCATCCCTGGCCTCTACCCACTCTACACCAGTGGCTCCTCTTCCCATCGTATTAACTAGAAATCATCTTCTGTGGAAAAGCACTGCTCCTAAGCATATCAATGCCCAGGAGCTGCTGTCCCATCACTTCTTGCTCATCTGCTCAAACCATTCCCTGCGTGTAGGGACAAGCATAAGGCCATTTGCATCTGTGTAGGGTGGTACCCTAGAGATTTCTTTTTCTTACAGAATTTCATGACCTCAGTAACAGTGCTTGCCTCACTCTGAGAGAAGCTCTAAACAATCCGTACATTAAAATAGTTGATAGTCATCTGTTCAGAACTTTTTGTCCCTTTACAAGCCCAAGTATTTTTCCCATTGCATCCACAAGGGGATTGTGTAAATATTTATGTCTGCACCAAGGGTATTATATTGAAAGAGATAGTAACTTTCTGTTCTGGGAGAAATTTGAAGAAACACAGTTTAAATTTTTTTTCCCAAACAGATAAAGGCAGCCACCTTATTCCTGGCCCTGGGAATCTCAGAAAACCATGGGCTCTGTTTTCTCCCTCAAAGGAAATGACGTTTGTGCGTTTCTTTTCAGGATCCCTTGCCTCTTGTACAACTGGCTATTTCTTGTTACGCCACAGGCCTTGTGAAGGTCCTTCCTGTATTTGCTGATTACATAGGCTAAGGGGCGCTATTTGGGGGAACTTTATTTGGTTGTTGCTGTAAGAAGCAGCCTCTCCATATGGAAAAGTGATCAGTCTGAGACAGGTCACCAAACTACAGCCCGAGGGCCAGATCTAGCCCACTGAAGTTTTATCAGAACACATCACACCATTTGTATATGGATTATCTGTGGCTGCTCTCACACTACAATGGCATGTGAACTATGTACTGTCTGGCCCTTTATAAAAGAAGTTCACTAACCTCAGTGTAAGACTTTGAAAAGTGCCCAGAGAACCCAAGACTTGAAAATGCACTTGGTCTGGTCTGTCTGTGGGAGCAAGCTTGGCATTAGTTGGCGTATTAGTTTCCTGTGGCTGCCATAACAGATGACCACAAACTTATTGTTTAAAAGCAATAGAAATTTATTTTCTCACAATTCTGGAGCTGAGCTTTCCAAAATTAAGGTGCCGTGCTCCCTCTGCAGGGTCTAAGAGGAGAGCCCTTCTGTGCCTCCTCTAGCTTCTGGTTGTCCAGATGTTCTTAGCTTGTGGCCACATCACTGCCTCTGTCTTCACATGGCTTTCATCCCCCTGTATTTCTGTGTGTCCTCCCCTCTTCTTACAAGGACACCAGTGATCGGGGTTCGGGGAGCCCACCTGCCTAATCCAGCATGACCCCATCTTGAGATCCTTAATTATATCTGCAAAGACCCTTTCTCCAAATAAGATCTCATTTGCAGGTTCTGGGGGGTTAGGACTCCTGATGTATCCTTGGGTTGCCACCATCCAAACTACTTCAGTCACTAACATATTCTTTATCTGGCTATTTTTGTTCTCCCAGGTGCGTAGCAGGCTGCTGCTTCATCCCTTTCTGTGTGGACGCCCTGCAGGACGTGGACCATTACTGTCCTAACTGCAAAGTTCTCCTGGGCACCTACAAGCGTTTGTAGGACTCGACCAGGCCTGACGGGAGCTGTATGTGGCAGGGAGTCCGCTCCGACTCTCAGCCAGTCCCACCCCTGATGGAGATTCTGCCTTGGTGGTCTCTTCCTTCCAGGGGTTCCACCTTTGTGTCTTCTTTTGGGGGGAAATATTGCAAAAGTAACACACTTCCAAACCCCAGAAATTGCTGCTTGGAGTCGTGCACAGGACATGCAGAGACATTTACCTTGAGTGCTGGGTCAAGGGTGTCCCACCTGCCTGCCACCCTAGGCCGTCATCCCATCTCACTGTGATCGTTGCCCTGTCTGAGTATCTTCCAGTGATTTGCCTTGCCAGCTTCTTTTCTTGCCTCAGTGGGCCTTTTTGGTGGTGGGCTCCAACTGAGAAGCCACAGGTTGCCTTATGTTTGAGACTGTTCTGGCCTGAATGCGGCCGAGCCAGCCTCTAGCATTACCATCGTGTCCGTCTGTCTGTCCTCACGTCTGACGACAAAAGGCTTGCCTCAGGCCTTGGCCCTCAGGTTCTGTAACCGCAGGCTTTTCACTAGCACAAAAATTCACTTTAATTTTTGAATTCGTTTTTACGTACATGGAGGGACTACCCACACCCCCCAGACAAGGATCCATGGGGTCATAAACGATTCTAGAAACACGGGGCTGGTCGCACCACTGCTCCGTCTGCCCTCGGCTCTCTGTGCCAGGCTCTCAGCCAGGTTCCATGAAGGGCTTTTCCTTGTGGAGGAATTATTTGTAGTAACAGTTTTTACAGCCTTTTGGTCTTAAACACCTTTGAACACAATTTTGAAAGAAGGGATTTATAGAACCGTTTTCTGAAACTGTGTAATTGGTATCATTTCCCCATTTGCCAAGGCACTCTCATATATATATATATTTTTTTCTTAACAAAAACAGTCATGGGCAGTTGCACCCAGTGCCTTTACTTGGGTTAATGTGGTTCTGGAAAACCTTCATGACGGAGCTGGGAACGTGGGCCCCTTTGGGCTCCTGGTGGTGTGCGTGGGAAGACACAGAGGAGCATGAGGGAGCACTTCCAGGTGCCGTGGTGCTGAAGGGCGTGGGGGCCAGAACTGTGTCCAGGGAACCCGAAGTCTGATTTTATTTCTCAGAAATCTCATTTGTTGTATGCCATCGGAAGACATGATTTCTAGGACTCAAGCAGCAAGCCAGAGTTCTTGGGTTGCCGCTGTGTCATCTTTGAAATCAAGACAAAGCGGGACTCGCCTTCCAGGAGTCCCCATTTTGATGATAAATAGGCACAGGGGATGCATGTGAATAATAGTATGTAGAAGTCAAGCCTAGACCTTGAACAAAAATCTGTATATTGGCTGAAAATTAGAATCATAACCGTTGATTCAGCTTATTCACTTGATATTTTGAAAGTTTCAGTAATTATTTTTTGCAACGAATATGGATACTACATCGCACTTTGGTGTTTATCTGCTTTTGAAAAATAAAGTCTTTGGTTCATTTGGTGAACTATTTATCAGTTCTTACAGTGTGAAGAAAGGTCTCATGTGTTTCTAGCCGTCGTTACAAAGAACCTTTATTTGCTCCATAACAGGAGAAAATCCTTCCTGATAAAAACTTCAGACTCCCTGAATGTCCCTCGGTGTCAGGATGACCAATGGTGAGCCGGGCAGGCTGCTTGTTCGTCAGGCTGGAACATCAGGCTGTCGGAGCTCCACGGGCGTCATCGATGGCAGCCAGCCATAGCTTTCAAGTTTTAATAAAATGCACAGAAGAAAGCTGTCCCCATTCATTCTCCAAACAAAACACACTTTATTAATTGATCGGAGTGGTTGTGAGATGCTAGAAGGAGAGCGTTGTAACTCCACCGGGAACATGAATGTCATCCTCCCTATTGCTACCTGGTGATAAAACTTCATTTGGGAAGGCGCAGGAAAATAACGTCATCCTGCTGTGGCTCACGTCGTCATGTAAGCCCTGTCTTCTGGTCTTGAGAAATTTCTCCTCCATTTTGATCACGTGATTTTCTTTTATTTGACAAAACGGAAGGCCATGCACAGGTAGCAGTTTTGTTCAGATGGTGATATGGAAGGGTTCTCAGGTTGTTACTAGTTACATGTGCAAAGTCTTCAAAACAACTCTGTTTCCAGGACCGTCAAATAGGCTGTGGAAATTATAAAGTAATGTCAGATGCCTGGAGACCCCTCTTGAACCTGGGCTCACATGAGCGTTTATTGGACATTCCATTTTATTGTTTCAAGTACAGGCTTTCGTACAGGTTTGCATTGAATTAAAGGTTCTTTTGTTCTACCGAAGTTTGTTGGGGGTTTTGGAGTTAGTTTGTTGCAAACACTGAGTCACATTCAATTAATGAAAGTACTTTATATCTTCTTGGACCTCAAAGAAGATTACCAATTTCAAACCACAAATGTCTGTATTTCTTATACGTTGTTAATTCATCTAGGCGAGGTGATCTTATACGTAAGTGTTGGTTTGTGTATTGTTAACAAAAAGTATTCCATTATTTCGTCTGTTAAACCAACTTTAAGCACATGACTGATTCCTGGCTGACCCAACACTACCTGTGAAAATGTTTTTTCTGGGACCACTGGCTTCCCGGTTGCTATTGAGACCAATTCCAACAGGTGCTTAACTCTTTATCAGTGTGGCTTCATATGCCCACACAGTCTGGCTTTGGGCTTCTCCCCAGCGACAGCCTCTTGCATTTGGGGTGTTAAAGTCCTTCTCTGACTTCCTGGGCTCAAAGGTCTCCATTAGGAGTTAAGTGTGGACATTGGAATTTTACTTACAAAATTCCGATTTGCATTTTGGAGCCTATTAAAGTTATCTCCTGCATTTATGACTCAGATGTTTACAATGAGTCGTCTGTTTTTCCTAGGCGCATGAGTGAATTTCAGGTAGACCCAGTGAGAATGAGGAAAGAGAAGGGAGATTTAGTCTAAGAATTTTAAAGAAAGAAGATTCCCAGGCTCAGAAAGATTTTAAAAAACAAAATACTTCATGGCCAAGTATACAGTCTGGTGCATTTACCTGTCTTGTGACTGCTTGCTGTCTGTAGTATGAGGAAAATGTTCACACACCTGAGTATCCTTTTTTCTCTAAAAATGAATGTTTTTAGAGCAGTTTTAGGTTTACAGCAAAATCGAGAAGAAAGTTCCCAAACACCTCCCCCAGACCCAGATGCCCCATTATCAACATCCTCGCAGAGTGACTCACTCGGTGTAGTCGGTGGCCGACATTGCTACACCATTGTCACCCAGAGTCCGTAGTTCACACTGTGGTTCACTCGTGTTGGATACTCTGTGGGCTTGGATAAGTGTGTAATGGCGTGTGTCCACCATTACAGTACCATGCAGAGTAGTTTCACTGCCCTAAAAGGCGTCTGCTGCATCTATTCATCCTCCCTCCCCCAGAGCCGCAACTTCCAACCTTTTCACCGTCCCCACAGTTCTGCCTTTCCCAGAGTGTCATGCAGTGGGGGTCGTGCAGTGTGGAGCCTTTCAGACTGACTTCTTTCACTTAGCCATATCTGCCTCCGTTGCTTTGGATTTGCCTGTTCTGGATATTTCATATAATGGAATTGTATGATATATGACCTGTTATTCTGGCGTCTTTCACTGAGCCTCATGTTTCTGAGGTCCATCCATGTAGCAGATGTCAGCGCCTTATTTCTTTTCGTGGTGGAATAATGTTCCATTGTATGTTTACACCACATTTTGTTTATGGCCTCACTGGTGAGTATTTGCGTGACTTCCACCTTTTGGTTTCTGCAAATAATGCTGCTGTGACCTCGGGTTTACCATTTTTTGTTTCCTTTTTTGTGAATGTGTTTTCATTCTTGGGGATGGAATTGCTGAGTCATTTGGTAATTTAGTTTCACTTCTTGAGGAACCACCTGGTGGCTTCTTAAACATTTCCTACCACAAAGCCATGTCCAGCAAGGGCTACCCACTTGGAACTGCCCTGCTATATAGAACTTCGTTGTCTTCTACTGCAAGAGCCATTTGGAGCAGCCTGGTGGTAACAAAGCTGGACTCAGAGCATGACCTGCCCCTCGGGCTGGCCTGCCTTGATGCCTCAACTCATCTGACCCCCATTCAGATCCTTCTGGGGCTCCCACTGAGCCTGGAAAATGAGGAGGGTGGTTGCTGCATCTCAGCCCCTCTGTGTGGACCCTCTTTTAAGAAAATGCTATGAACTCGAACACAGAGTTCTCAGGTATCTGACCGCCAGCCCTGTTGACCTGTATACCCAGCTTGGGATAGAGCAGCAAAGAGGGGATGCTGTCCCCCTGCTGTGGAATTGGTGGCAGAGGGGAGTGGGAGACGTTATGTGAGAAAATCTAACATAAACTGGTGCAAACCAGGGAGGAACTGGACAGGAAAACAGCATATTGTACAGATTGGATGAGGTACCCTAGTCCTTTAAAATTATCATCATTCTGTCCTCTTCTCCTGGTGAGGAGGCAGCTCTTAGGATTCAGTGCCAGACGGGTCTGAAAGACGTGTGCGGAAAGTTCGTTTCTGTTCTGTTTGTCGTGCGATTTCATTGGCAGTTTCTCCCTCTCTAGGGGGAATCGCCCAAGTCCCATTTTCCTGGGAGGAGTGGCAGCACTTGAAACGATCCTTTTCTTTGGTTTGAGGCCTTTAGATTTCCACTTAAGAAGCAGGAAGGGCCAGGCTGGCTTCCAGTAAGTAGGGGATTTCTGCAGGGTGTGACTGCATGCCTGCCCCTGAGCGTGGGACCTCCTCTGGAAACTGGGCTCACCTGACCAGATCTTGCCATCCCCAGGAAGGAAATTGGGAAAAGGGAAAGTGGGAAACGTTTTTTAAAATATACATATTCACTGACTTGAGAGAAAGGGAGGGAGAGAGAGAAACATGGCTGTGGAAGAGAGACATTGATCAGCTGCCTCCCGCACACACCCCAACGGGGATCGAACAGGCAGCCTTTCGGTGTACCGGATTATGCTCCAACCAGCTGAGCCACCCGGCCAGAGCAAAAGTGGGAAACATTTGACAATTTCTCTCCACTCTCAGTGGGTTGGTTTCCACTGCTCTGTTCTCAGGAGTTCTAGGTTGTGAGAGCAGGAAGGGAGCACATGGCAAGAACACAAACAGCCCTTCAGGAGAGTTTTCTAAGCTATAATTTACATTTCTTGTCATGTCTGAAATTAAAGTGGTAGAAAAAATGCTTATCATAAGGCTGGTGGGGAGGTTGGGGGGTGGGGGCCCAGCCCTCTGCATGCGCTTAAACCCAAAATCTCAGCACAGCAGCGGGCTCCCAGCCACCGGGCTCCTCTGGTCACGGGTCCTCTGTTAGTATTCCACCAGCTGACATCGTCGCTGAGAGCTTTCCTGTGTGTTGTATCAGTTAACTTGCCCTGCTGTGTTGTTTTTCTTTTAAAAGATTTTATTTATTTATTTTTAGAGTTAGAGGAAGGGAGGGAGAGAGGGAGAGAAACATCAATGTGAGAGAGAAACAATTAGATAAGTTGTCTCTCACCCAATCTGCAGACCGAACCTGCAAACCAGGCTTGTGCCCTGACCAGGAATCTAACCAGTGACCTTGGACCTTTGGGTGACACCCAACCAACTGAGCGACTGGTCAGGGCTACTTTGTTGTTTTTCTAACTCCCTCCTTGTTTTATCTTCACCCCACCCTCTGTCTTACCGTCTTAAATCAACTCAGGCTTTTATCAGCGTGCACGTGTGAGTGTGTGCACCTCTGTGAGGGGGCAGGGGTCTGGGTGTTAGTGCGTGTGTGTGTGTGTGTGTGTGTGTGTGTTGGTGGGCGCTAGGGGAGGTCCTAGGTGTCTGTGGTGTGTGGGGGGCCCTGGATGTCTTAGCTGCCTTGAGCGTCTGGCTCTGCATTTGTGTGTCTGGGGGCTTGCCCTCCCCCGTACACTGCCCCCAGCCTCCAGCCTGTGCCTTCAGACCTCCAGCTTGGGAGCCCTGCAAGGACTGTCAGGCCAACCACGCCAGCAGTGGGGATGGCTGTCACCTGGCTGGTCTAGGGGACTGAAGGACACAAGTGATTGCTCCTCCCAGTCCCGATACTCAAGCTGTTTGGAATACCTTTTGGGGGTTTGGACGAAGACACGCCTGGCCTCACCACCGTGTCAATCACTACCCGTGTTAGGCTTCAGGCAGGTGATTTCATTTGGGAAATTCCAGTTCTAGTTGAACTCCGCACGGTAGGACTGGGGCTGGTGATTGCTCTCAGCCTGGGCTGCACTCAGAATTCCCTGGGGAAGCATTTAGGAACCTTGTGCTGAGCCACACCTCAAAGCAATGAGTCAGAATCGCCTAGAGAACCCTGGGCCTTAGGCTGGCCTCTCCACTGGGCACAGCCGGCAAAGTGCTGAGGACCCACGATACTTTTAGGGACCCAGGGAAATGCTTTTATTTTATTTTCTGATCAGGGGGAAAAGCCTGCGTAAAATAATAATGAATTTATAGTAATAAATTCAATTTGGAGTACATTCTTCTATCAATTCAG